TTGAACTGTTGCATGAAGGGTTGCTGAACTGCAAAGCAACATGTCTGCAGGAAATATGATCTCTACTTTAGTATTTATCTCCTTAAATGTAAAGAACCCCAATTAAAGTTATAGACAACCAACCTGGGCTATCATTTTTCCAAAATTTGATTCTGTGTCCTCAAGCAGTTGCTGATGCTTCGTGACCATATGCTGTAGATCAATTTTCAAGATGATCTGTCCCTAACCTAGTCCTTCAGCAATCCCAACGGTGCACTCATTGTTACAGTAAGTACCAGCTTGTTGCCAGAGAATGCATAATGTGTCCAAAGTAGGATTATTTGAACCTGATCATATGCCATAGTAACTAGGATTTCAGAGTGCTCTATTAACGGTTTTTGCTTCATTTATTTTTGTTTTCAGATTTTGCTTTTCTTTGTTGTATTTGAAATCCCAAGCCATTGGTGTAGACAGCCAAATCCACGATACATGATATGATAGAGGTAATATTTTTTTCTAGGGTATATTCAACAACTGGGTCAGTTCAGTTTCTTCAACCTGGGGTCTTCTAGATGTTTTCAGTTTTAACTTAGAGTAGACACCAGTAATATGAAGAAAGACATCAGGTTAGAACAGGGGTGTCAAACTTGCAACCTGATGTGTTGCGACGTATCGTGACTTTTTTCCCATTGCCAGCAATGGGGTGGATGCGGTTTCAGCATGATGGATCCGGCCTGGGGGCTGGCAGTTTGACACCCCTGGGTTAGAAGAACAGAAGAATCATATTCATTTTTATGGTTCTTTTTTCTCTGACCTCAAATTGTAATAAGTAGTGCCTGAAGAAAAATATTGACATCATATACATTGTGTTTTAAGTTTTTAAAGGATAGAAAAGGAAAAAACATAATAGAACTTAAAGGTCACTATTAGCACTTTCTGACTGAAGATTTCCCTTTTTATTCTATGAATCGGGACTGCCTATGAAAAATTGGGCTTTCTACCCTTACTCAGATACACTGAACAGCTGTCCCCTTCCGCCCCCCCCACCCCAAGTCCTGCTATGATGCCTCATTACGGTGGAGGATAGGGATGATGTTTCCAGGAGGGATGAGTGAAGAATGCCAGGAGTATATGCCAAGAGTACATAATCCCAACAGGGTCATTCAAGATCTAAAAGTTAGTCCATCTGCCCAGCTAAAGCAACTAGGCTGAAGATGCTGAAAGTGGATGATAGCTTTAATGGCAATGTCAAAGGCATCATTTCATATTGCATGGGAAAATGTAATGGTAAACCACTCCTTTTTCAAATGATTTCTGTCTTTCTGGAACATTTGGTCTGAGGGGTATGCTCTAGGTCAGGGCTTTTCAACCTTTTCACCTATTGTACCACTTTTAGGATATCCAAGTACCACCAGTCGCCTAGCAAGGTGTCAAAAACTTGATGACCCCCTTCCCCAAAAAAGGAAAAAAGTGATAAAATACAAGTAGTCCTCGACTTACAACAGTTTGCTTAGTGACTGTTCGAAGTTACAATGGCATTGAAAAAAGTGCCCCCCAAGCCACAGCCGAGCAAGACACCTGCCTGCCCACCGAGTGGCGCTCTTCCTCCTGTCTGCGGTTTTCATTGTTGTGAGCATTTCTGTTGAGGATTGGCAGCGGGAGTGGGGTGGTGTTTGGTTTTATTCCCCCTGTCTGCTGGGTGGTTGCAGCAGGTTTTGGTCACATTACATGACCCTGGGACACTGTGACTATCATAAATATGAATCAGTTGCCAAGCATCTGAATGTAAATCACAAGACCCTGGAGATGCTGCAACATTCCAGCTGATCGGTGCTTCTTCAGAGCTCAGCAGAAGCAACAGGATCAGTGCCAAGCTCCAGCTGGAGCCTGGCGCTAATCCTGGCGCTTCCCCTGAGCCCTGACAGCCCCGAAGAAGCTCTGATCAGTTGGAAAGCATCACTGATCCTGGCGCTTTGGCTGAGTCCTGACAGCCCTGCAGCTCCAGCCATCTCTCACTCAGGCTTGTGCGGTGCTGCCACCGGTTCAGCTCATTCCCCTCCCCTGCTACCACTTTTCTAGGATGGTTGCGTACCATCTGCCAGGTGCCAATGTACCACAGGTGGTACCCGTACCACTGGTTGAAAAGCCCTGCTCTAGGTTCCCGCAATGAAACAATGTCATTGAGGAAGCATGCCTTTTCTACTACTGTTCCTGACTTCTGGAACAGTAGTCTCCCAGAGATGCACGCAGTGTCTACTCTCCTGCGGTTCCAGAAGGCTCTGGAGATCTACCTATGATCCGAGACCTGGGATTAAGATGTTTATGCCCTGGTCATGTGTTATTGTTATGGTTGTTTTTATTCTGGATTACTACATTGTTTATATTTTTAATTGTTTTAATTATATATCTGGATGTTGTAAGCCACCCATAATTTGTTGAACTGTCATCATAAATGTAAATAATAATGAAGCTGAAGAAATAATGGACTACCTAGTTAGCTGCTGCAGGAAAATTGCAAAGACTGATTACAAACAATGGCTTGATAAAGTACTGTAGTAACAACAGTGTGTTGGAATACCTGCAATAGTGTTTGCCTGCAAGCAAGAAGTGTTGGGACCATAAAATAGACAAAGAATAGAAAATGAAAAAGATAACATGCTCTGGGGCTTTAAGATTTGCAGAGTTAGTTGGAAGAAAAACTTGTGTAAGTCTTGAGAAAGGTTAAAGAGAAGATAGGAAACAGGCCAGGGCTTTTTTTTGTCATAGAACGCACCGGAACAGAGTTCTGGCACATTTTTTCAATGGATTTTTCAAAGTTGCTTTGAACAAAATCCTAGTCTTTTAGATACATTAAAAATTGAAGGGTTTTTTTTTTCAACTATAAAGGTAAACCTTGTAGGGTAGGCAAGGCGGGTTGTATGACGTGTGTGAGTTCCGGCACCTTTTTTTTATTTATAAAAAAAAACTGGAACAGGCTATTTTGGAATAGGGTTTCTTAGCTGGAATCCTTAATACCTCATATCCAATTGTGGTTATTTTTTACATGTTTTACAATACACCATATTGAAAAAAGAAAAATTTACGATTCAGTCAAAGCTCAGAATGAGCCCTCCGCTGTATCACAGTTTTTCTTCCAGCAGTGAAATTATTTGTTAAGGAAAGTTCTGATGGTGGGTTTCCTTCTTTCTGTGTGATTTTTTTTCTCTTTCCCCACAACACCTCAATTTTCCTCTTCAGTGACTAAATAGATAGAAATTCCAGATTTTGGCATTTTTGGCGCTAGGTGGTAGTAGTGGTCATGGCGCTGAAAAATACAATTTATGTTATTTCTAGTTCTGCATAAAAATAAATCTTGATATGTGGTGATGAGTGATGATATTGTCCTATGGCAGTCTTTCCTAATCTAATGGCCTGTAGATAAATTTGCATTATATGTGCAACACAATACTTCCTTTCTCTCTGTTAATACAAGTCTGTGAATAAATAACATATTCAGGCACATCCAAAACTGATTTTCTCTGAGAGTTTGTTATATCTTAAAGACTTATTTAAGACTAATTAATCTGAAAATGTTGGACAAAAGTGCAGTTAGATAATTTTAAATCATGAGTTTCAAGGCTATTTTTTAAATGTTTCAATGTCTTTTTTAAAAAATAAGCAGCGTATCTAAAAGTCACTGGAATAAGGCAGGCTTCTAACATGATAGACTGTGTACCCAGTTGCCCAAGGATGAGGTGTGGAGCTGGGATGGAAAAGTACTCAACTTGAAGAACCACGTTTGCAGCCTGGGTGGGTCCCTCCTCCTGGCTTTGTTCCTAGATTATCAGATGTAGTCTTGTGGATGCATTTGCTGTTCTTTTCCTTGGAAAAAGTAAATCTGGTTCCCATCATATCTTCTTTAGTGATAGGTAAATTTAACTAAACAACAACAACTTCCTTTTTTATGACCCTGTAATCCCTTAATTCGGGGTAGAGTCGGGGCAACTGGATGGAGCTGAGCATTTACTAGCCAGATATCCTTCCTGACACCACATGGAGTACACAGCAGATATTTTTTTCTTTGCGCTCTAGGAGAGAAACATCTGCCACTACCTAGGATTTAACTCTTAACTTTCTGAGAGGTGAGTATCTTCACCACTAGACTACAACGCCACTCTAACAACAACAACAGCAATATATACAAAACAGCATTTTGGGCGGCCATCCAATTTACAAATGTGGGTAAAATTACCTATTTCTAGCAAATTGATCTATCCATAAAAGACTAAGCCAGTGGTTCTCAACCTTTTTAATGCCGCGACCCCCAACCGGTCGTAAGTCGAGGACTACTCAACTGGTGCAGCACCGTTTGCGGAATGGGACTTTTGGCGGGCTCAGCAGGGCAGAGACAGCCTGGACAATTCCTATTGGCTTTTGAAAGCCAATAGAATTAGACTCTATTCAAGGGAGTCTATTCTATTGGCTTTCAAAAGCCAATAGAATAAAAGGGAGTAGCACAGCTAAGGAAAAGGGGAAAAAAATGGTGGGCTGCATTGTTTGGTGACCCCCGTGAAATGCTCGTTCGACCCCAAATGGGGTCCCGACCCACAGGTTGAGAACCACTGGACTAAGCCATCATATATACAACACTTAATGGCCAAATAAGATTAATAAGCCAGTATGTTGCAACTGTTGTGAATTTGAAATAATAATTATGTATATTGCACAGTATGATCAATATACCACTTCTGTAAATCCCATTAGAACATGTTAACTGTATACATTCAATACATAGAAATAAAGATCCAATATGAATGTCTCCTGCATAATTTCTAGTTGTAGAATAATACCATCGTTTTTCTTTTCTTTGATATATTCCTTTGAGGGTTTCTTCTAATTTTTCTATTCATCTGATCCAAAATACATGGTTTTGGAATTTTTCTTTTGTGCTATTGAAGAAAGCACTGGAGTAACTGTAATAATGTTTTTAGGAGCCACCCTAAATATTGGAACAAAATAATAATTCAGAAATACATTAGAACTACTTTGAGCAATTCATATCTATTATTGCAGCTTCTTAAGAAACAGTTTTTGAGTATACATAGTGTAGATGACCAGTAATAAGGGCGAGTAAGACATTGTGCGCAACTTGAACATGACTAACACTAAAAAAAATGTTTATTTTCTGAAACCAATTACTATAGTGAATTGCCAGATACTTAATAAATATTATTTTTCCAGTCTTAGTCAGCAAAATAATAGAGTGCTATTGAGCTCTGGTATGTAGCATTAAGCATTGTGAATTTTACATGATGTAGTGTAATCAGTGTTTGAATATCTGATGAGTTTTTCACATGATCATTGACAGTATTCCATTTTGATTTAAATATTGGAATGATCTTCTGATCTTCTTTACTATTGAAGGTGAACTGCTGTGCAGTAAGTGGAATATTGAACCATTAGATTCAGGAAGCTTGATATTCTATGTAATCTTATACTATCTATTTGCATATTGGTCCATCTCTGGAAAGTCTCCCAACATCTTTATGGGGAGATGTTATTCTAAGAGATTTCATCTCACTGGGTGGATATGAACATTTGCAATTTTTCTGGAGTCGCTCAAAGGATGGTCAGGTAAGGAGACAGGTCTTTTTGAGTCTTTGCCTCTGCTGTTCTTTCTTCATCCTACTCAAAGCTGCTCTTGAAGCCTCTGTGAATATGTCAGTAATATTTTCATGGTAGAGGGCTGAACACTCAAAATATGCAACTGCGTGGAGATTCCGAGCCAAGGCCTCTCCCTACAACAAAAAGAACAACATAGACATATAGTATCTTCTTAAAATTAGGGCAGGGTAGGCAATGTGTGGCCTTCTAGGCCTTGGACTGCAGCCCCCATCATTTTGTACCACAGGCCATTCTGCTCAAAGGTGATGACAGTTGGAATTCAACAACTGCTACTCCTTCCTCATTTAAGGAATGGGTAGAATGGGTAAAGGGCAACATACTTACAATACTGAGCTACCACAAAGCACAGGTGGTATTTCAAGATGAGGATGCAATGGTAACCATTTGTCTATGTAATTTCCAGCTATCAAGCCCAACTTGATGGGATCTGGCTGAATATTAGGGTAGGGAAGTGCTTTGGCTTTGATTCCAAAAATGTGTTTCAAAACATGGAAGGGCATAAATGTAGCATATGCCTACAATTCTTTGAAGTAGCTGCATCATTTCCTGAGACCATATGCATGCAGTCAAGGGAAAAGAAGCAGCAGCTCTAAGGAGTTGCAGACATGTTCTTTTGTACTTTCATACATTCCAAAGCATACTTTCTGTATTATTTCTGAAGTATTGTTCAGCCCTGCTATTATTAGCACCTTTTGTTAGCTTTAATGAGACTGAATGTAGGCAGAACGCCACCTCATGTATTATGTTTTTTGGAGGTAAAGATTGTGGCTGTATAGTGCAACACGATTACACAGAACAGTGGGTGTCTGATTGTACTACCTTCTGGTATGTGATGGGTTCTAGTTGGTTTTGATGTAACTTCCTTAGTAGAACTTTGTCGTTCCTTAGGTCAGTTTTGCAACCAACAAGCAAAATTGGAATCCCTTTGCAGAAATGGTTTGCTTCAGGATACCACTAAAATGAGACACAGACGGGATTAAAAAACATCAAAAGTAGACAGGTTTCAGGTATATAGAATCTGGTTTATTTTTTACTACATGTCTGAAAACTAGCAAAGAGCCTTCTATAAAGGATGTATATCTAGAATGAATGACTTTTTACTCAAGGAATTTGTTTTCATCAATGGTCTTTCGGTGGGAATGTACAGCTGTGAAAGCTGGACGCAGAGAAAGAAGAGAAAGAAAATAGACACTTTCAGATTCTGGATTTGGAGATGGTTGCCAAGAGTACCATGGACTGCAAGAATAGCTAATCAGTCTGAATTCTGGACCAAATAAAGCCGATCTGTTCTACCATTCAACAAAGACTTGCACATTTGGGGCATGTGATAAAACCAAATGATGGACTAGAATAAAATGATTATGCAGGACAAAATGGAGTGAAATAGAAGAAAAGGAAGCAAACCCAAAAGCTGCATGGGGGTCCTTGGAAGAGCTGCAAGTTTTTCTGGTATAACAATTTGACTATTTTATTTACTGTAAGACACACACCTTCTCAATAGATACTAGAGCAAGCAATTTTCATTGAGCTCACACATTATGTTGGTCTTGTTACCTTTGTGAGGATGTTGTTGAAGCTGATGGGATTGGTGACATCATAACATATGATCACTGCATGGGCCCCGTTATAGGACAGAGGACGGAGTCTGTCATAATCTTCCTGTCCTGCATGGAATAATGTAATATATATGTACAATGATTAATATTTTATATATAAGCATCATTTACAATACACTGTATGCACAAATGTTTATTCAAGATCTTCCTCCCAGTCCCTTAGCACATTTCACTTCCCATAATAGCCACAAATAGCCACATTAATATATAAGGTAGTGTATGTCCGTCCTATATAATCCCTAAGTAATTTAAAGTACATGAAAGCCAAGCTGGATGACTTTGGGCCAGTCACTCTCTCTCAGCCTAACCCACCTCACAAGGTTATCACTGTGGGGAAAGCATGAGGAGGAAGGAGTACTAGGTATCTTTGCCACCTTGAATTATTTTTTTAAATAATAAAGGCATGGTAAAAATCTAATAAATACAATAAATAGTATAGTCTAATACACATTGTTTCCTCAATCCATTCAGTGGAGTTTGCTTCTAGTTAAATGTGTAAAAGATTGTGATTTTATGTATTTGTTGATCACAGTATAATTTTCAGGGACATGTAAAGAACACACCCACACACCCACATGCACACATATTTATCCTTAGCATTCTTAATGTGCTTCATTTGTGCATAGGAGCATTGGGAGAAAGAGAAGAAACAATAGTTATCTTCAAAACATTTTAACCAGATAAACAACTTGTTTGAGCTGATTGGCTAGGATAAATGGTGACATTCCACCTTTACCAGATCTTTACTTACTTAGATTTCTTTTTTTAGAAATTCAGAAGTGGCAAAAAGGCCACTCTTTCTCTTATTTCTTCTCCTGCAATCTAGAGAAACACAACTACAATTGTTGACATATACTATGCAGTCTTTTGTTTTCTCTGCAACATAATCCCCAGGATTCAAGATATGGAAGTGGTAGATCTTTTTTCTAGAGATGAAAGAAACACTGTCTTTTCAGCTTTGTTGAAAGTATTTATTTCATCTCCAGAAAATAACATCCAGTATCTTTGGACTGATGTTATAGGAAAATTTCAAGGTTCTAGAAATGGCCACTTTGAACTCTGACAGATTGTCTGATATCTCTGTAATGGAGGGTTTTGTCATTTGCTTCTTCTCCATCTTGGCTCATTTTTATATATTTTAATGAAAGGAAACATTGAAAGGGGCTTTTGTTACACTTGTCTGCCTCTGAAATACAGTTTCTGCAGGAAGATCTCAGTACTGTCAATGGATAGGGCAGCAGGGGAAGTGGGCGCAAGCAAGGCTATAAAATGTATAAAAGTGGGGGCAACGTTGAAAATGTATAAAAAGTGACTTGCTTATTATGCAGTGAAGGGACGGTTACAGATATCCTGAGTGATCTATCTTCTTTGTAAGAGCCAAAATGTTTGTTTCACCCACGCAGAGGAACTTCAGGGCAATCTGTCTAAATAGATGGATTAGACTCACTCTCATTATCATCCCTAGTCAGCATGTAGGCTGTGAAGCCCAGCACACTTCAGGGACACCAGTTTTGATAAGGCAAAATGTTCATTGCATGGTAGATCACCACAAGATTTCCCTCTTGGTAAAACATTGTGATGCATAAAGAGATCAAGTGATACTACCTTCCCAAAAGAGCAGAAAGCTTTTTGCTTGTGGCCTGCATATTTCTGTCCATATGTGGATAAAAGATTGTGACCTGTTTTACATACTTCCTAAAGAGAGCAACTATAAGCTAATACTGTAGTGAAAGATAATTCTTTAAATTAAATTAATTTCATCCACCCCCACATTGCTATGTTTTAGGTTGCTTTTTTTCAAGCAAATAATTCTGCCTGATTATCTGGCTTTCAATCAGTAGTCAAAAATTGTTGGCAAACCCCAGCTGCATTTAACTTCCTTCTGGAAGATGATGTCTATCTATACAGGCAAAAGCTTGCTCGTTCCTCTACTAATGCAATCTCACTGGAAATATTTTTATTTCGCTAATGTATCTGTTTAAAAAACAATGCTGCCGTTTTGACATAGGCCTTACCTGCTGTGTCCCAAAGGCTGATGTGGACTTGCTTGTCATTAATGTGAAAGGCAGCAGAATATTTCTCAAAAACTGTTGGGACACAAACCTAGAAGAAGATGATGAAAAAAGTTACAGTTTTGCTTAACTGGATACCTCTTGAAGGATTGGTTGGTCTAAATTTTTTCTTCCATAGCATCTATTTCCTTTCACATTATTTGTTTAAGATTATGTAGGCTGCTTTTCCAAACAAATATTTTCCTACAAAGTCTTCAAAACATTTTGAAGAATCATATCTAACCTCTCTCTCAAAAAAATTCTAGCATCAATTAACAGCATCAGAAAACAAATCCCCCCCAACAACTAACAAATACACAACACATTTACTGAAACAATATGTTGAATAATTAAAACAGCCAGTAACCAACAAAAACAGATCAATTAAAAAGCTCCATTGGAGTGAGACGAGAAAATTAGCATTAGGCAGTCTGGAGAAATAAAAGCGTATTTTCCTATAATTAAAAAAATGTAATAAATACATAGCAAGGAAATTTGAGTACTGGCAACAATGAAAAGGCCCATTCTCAGTTGGCCCAACCTGAATAATATCTCACTGTGAAAGGGTGCCTTTAGGAGCACCTCTAAGTGATCCATATCCCAGATATTGTCTCATCCATGGCTTCCCTGCCACAATCCTTGAAGGAGGAAGCATATTATCCACTTCTGCTGAATTATTATTATAAATCTGGAGCCAATTTTCATCTGACTCTAGATTACATTTGGTAAAACAAAATCCTCAGAGTTATATAGGCAGATATTTCCAAACATTCTTTTATTCCACAAAGCTATAGGAAAGTAATTTCTTTGCTTTTCCTTCTTTTCTATCTCTGCCACATGTCACCAACCCACATTGACTTATTTTTGCAATAAAACTGATTCAGTTGTCAACACAACATACAGATAAAAGTAACCAGAATAGATCACTTCAGCTTATACATGCAGATACTGATTTGTGGAGTCCTTGGTGTTCTCTGAACTTGATTATTTGCATGCAGATGTTTCATTACCCAACTAGATAACATCATCAGTACACTGATGAGATGTCTGCAAGCAAACAACCAAGCTCAGTGTGCACCAAGGACTCCACAATTCAACCCTGAGCTACATACATTCTCTTCTGTTGGAGATCTAATTTTTGGGTGGTTATTTTTAAACAAATAATTTTCAAGGGAGACTTTAATGTGAAACTGTTAAATTATAAACTAATATTAAATTCTATAACCTGCATCAATAGAATAGTTTATTATATTATATTATGTTATATCATATTATATTACATTACATTGGGTAAGATGTAAAAATTGTATTGCTAATAGCTAATTGAATAACAATGAGCATATGTTATTGCCAAGGATATAGAACTCAGTCCCGTGGTCAAATCTGATTTCTATCTTGCTGGCAGTTTCTGAAGTAAGGCACTGCACCCCCCCATGAGTGCATCACTTCCTCTAGATGACACGTTCACCATAATAAAAAAGACCAATTAGAGAACATCCATAGAACCATCAATAACATTTTTAAAGGAATCCACTTTACTAGAGAGAAAAAAAAAAACCAACAACTTGCTACCCATCCTGGACATTTTGATCATCAGAGACCACAATGGTGAACTAGAAATGCAGGTCTACAGAAAAACCACTCATACTAACCAGGTGTTCCACTATAAAAGCAACAATCCAACCTCCCACAAGAGAAGCTGCATAAGGACTTTATTTAGACGAGCCCAAACACACTGCAGCAACCTGTAACAGCAGAAAAAGGAAATAGATCATCTATACAACATATTCCAACAAAATGGATATCCACACAACTTTATCAAAAAGTCCCTGACCACTCAACTCAACCCAACACAGCACAGCCAATACAAACTCTACATCAAGAATATCTCAAAAACCACCAACAGAGTATGACAATCACATGGAATCAGCATAGCACACAAGCCAACTAAAGCCCTTCAAAATATCCTAAGCAAATCAAAAGACCCAACAATCCCAGAAGAAAAAACAGGAGTCATCTACAACATATAATGTAAGGATTACAACAACTACTATGTAGGACAAACAGGCAGAAGACTGACAGAAGGCATCCACGAACATGGATGCATGGGTAGTTAGACATGGACTAAGTGCTTACTGTTTTCTCATCATATATACATGTAGCGTATAGATCAATGGTCCTAATGAAATAGATTTTACTCCATGAAACTTTATACTATAACAAATGAACTAATGTTAAAGTGTTACAAGATTCTTATTTCTTTTATGTAACCAATTCAAAGTCTAACTATAAATAGTACAGGTTAATCTATTTGCCCAAAGGTTCTAAGTCAATTCTGAAATACAATAAAGCCAATTTGATTGATTTTCTTCCTCTTTTCTTTCTGCAATAACCAGATTTGTTTGTACTTGTTAAAATAATTTTATTTCAGGAAGTTTTCGGTCAAATATTTCATGTTCTATCCAAATCCTGGCTCCTCATCTCGCTATCTATCAAAATGAAATTCAATGGTGAAAAAAAGTAAGGTTCTACATCTAGGCAAGAAAAACCAAATGCACAGGTACAGTGTAGGTAGTACCTTGCTCAATAGTAGTAACTGTACCTTTAAGTTAAACCCAATTTAATAAATAGATCTGATTAAACCTCATACTGTAGGCCTACCTTTACCTCTGACCAATACATAATATATATTATTACTATATATGCCGGCGTATAAGATGACTTCTGGAAGCGCTAAACTCGGCGCCAAAGACGGGGGTCGTCTTATACGCTGAGTCGTCTTATACACCAGAAATACTGGTAGTTTCTGGCGTATAAGACGATGTTCTAGGAAGGCGACTCGGCGATAAAGAGGGGGGTCGTCTTATACGCCGGGTCGCCTAATACGCCGGCATATACGGTACTAATAATAAAACCTCCAAATCACAAGATATTGGCTTTATTCTTATTCTTCCCCTCTGCAGTTTGAATATAAAGTATAAAAGACTAAAAAAAGATTTTTGTAGACATCCCAGCCTCTAAACTACCCAAGGAACCGAAACAGCAAAGTTTCGCTGTCGGGCAAGCTTCCACGCCAGCTGCCTTTCTTTCCTCTCGCTTTGCCTCTTTTTAATCTCACACCCCGCCTTCTGTAAGGGAAGGCAAAAGGCTTGCTCACCCTCTCATCAAAGATGGCCTCCATGTTTATGTGTCTCCCACTACCACCATCGGTTTCCACACCACATGGTCCGACCCAGCCAATCAAGCCATGCTCTGGCTGTGGTGCTCTGCCGCCTCATGGCTCCTCCTAGAGGAGGCAGACTGTGCCGGAAGGGACCCCACTCGCACCATAGCACCAGCAGGGCATTTTCAAAAGCAAACGAGGATAGGAAGGGGAACAATAGGAAAAGAACACAACTCTGGAAAATCCATCAAAAAAAGTTTCTGGAACTCCATTCCGGTGCGTTCTATGACAAAAAAAGCCCTGAATTTAGTAGTATTATTAGTATCCTTGGTTAGAGTCTATATCCACAGAAAAACTCCAGAAAGATTTGCTACCACAATGCTTCAGCTATTCTTCTATGACAAAGGAAGAAGAAAGTTCCAAGTATAACTGTTATGAGAATTTAAAACATTTCAAATTTAAGAAAAATAGTAGGCTTGATAAGAAACTATATTTGAATAAATTATCTTGAATAAGAAAGACCTTGACAAAAGGAAAGATCTGGCAGTAGGAAATGTGAGGTTGATATTATGGATAAAAGAAACTTACCTTAGGGAATTCTCTTTTGACAAAGACCATGAGCATGGACGTTTTCCCACAACCTCCATCTCCTATTACCACCAGCTTGATCTCAGTAATTCCTCTGGTCTCTTGTTTGGATCCTGACTGCCCTGGAGCCTCTTGACTTCTTTGCATGTCTATCAATTCTCAGGACACTACAACAAGGTCTTTTTGAATGACCTAAGAAAATGAGCCATGAAGATGTTTCTTCTTTCTGAGTAGTTTTCTACTCTCACATTGCTGCTTATCTCCTGTCCTTCTGTAGCTTAAAATCAAAGTCTTCAGCATAGCAACTATAGGTCATAGAGGCTAAGATTAGGTGTGGTTGGAATGTGAATAGAGTGACTGGCACAAGGAAGAAAAAGCAAACAGGAAGGCTGTTACAGAAGCAACCACCCATTGTGTGACAAAGCATGGAAAACATAATGATAAAGGATAGATAGAGGATAAAAATATGTTATAAAATAAGAACTCACTGCCTTAAATTGGCCCCCACCTTTTAAGTTATTTTAAAATGTTAAAAAGGTAGTTCAAATGCAAATGAGATAGGCTATCATTCATCTTTTAGCACGGGAATAGATGCTAACATATGAATGCAAATAACAGGTGAACAGCTATACTGTGTCTTGGGGGAACATATATAATTATTTGTAATTACACAATCTGGTCATTTGTAATTATGTACACAATAAGAAGCATTTCTAATTTATATATGTGTCACATATTTATGATTACTTATAAGCTCCATTACAATATGCAGTGGAATAAGAAATGAAACATGAATAAGAAATAGTCAGTGTATGTACAAAGACCTCATTTAAGCGGAAGTGGTGTACATTGGTGTACAAAGGAAAACAGTGCATGTGCAAAATATTATACAGTATTCAGAGATCTGTGCATGTATATGATATTAATCCTATATCCACATTTATGCTTGCACATAGTTCTTCAATCTTTTGATCCAAAATTTATTTTTGAGAAAAACTGATTGCTTCAAGATTCCCTGACAGGGTGGACTGAAGCTTGTTGACTTTGCAGACCAGTGCTCTGGGCAGTTATTCCAGATACAAAGAGGTACCAGGTCAAAGGTGGCTTAGCCTTCCTTGAACTCAGTGCTTTGTTTGATGAGGACCTGTAGACCAGAAGAGGTTGATCCAGGAGAATTTAGTCCATTTCTGTTCTTTCTCTTGCATTCTTCTTTTGAGTTCAGCAAAAATGCCCTGCTCTGTTCATCTTAGTAGGCCATTAATCTTGCCCCCAAGGCAAGTAGTTTGCTGTTATCACAACCACAGGATACTCTGATCCTCAAAACCAGTCTTAAAAAAAAGGCTTGAATGAATGGAAGAGGCAGAAGAAAATGTAAAATTAAACTTTTAATTTGTAATTTACACATTTTAAAAACTATAAGGCCACCTTTTCTGTTATAAGAAACTCAATAATTGAAATGCATCTAAAACAAAAATTAAGTAAGTACAGTATATAGGGTAGCAAATAATATTGTTCAGAAAGCAGCATTTAGAGAAATGCTATACTTTGTCTGATTATAATTGGACAGCCAGAAGCTTAGACTGGATTTGGCATTTTTATCCACCTATGAAGTCCTTCTCAAGGACCTGGGATAAACATGTTGTTTGGTGGTATATACATCTCAGGATGTAAACTATTCCAAGTAAAACTACCTTTTACAATTAACTAATGGTGATTTAATCAATGCCAATTATTTCTAAAGTATTCCATTTGTTTTGTAAAGTGCCTTTTGTCTTGTATGTTTAATATAGCAGAGAAGAATCTCACTAGTCCAACTTCTACTAAACTTATTTGCAGGTCAGAGGAAGTTTTATTTATAATACAGCTGTGTAGCTAGTAGCATTTACAGTAATATGCACTTTTTACAATCAGGTCTGTAAAAACTGATAATCAAAGAAAGAGATGGAGTATACAACCCCTTTACATGGTATATTCATAGCATGATGATGATTAAAATAATACATGTCATGGGCCAAGTAGAAGTGAAGATGTATCTCTCATTCTCCTAAACTTGAGTCTTTCATCCAATTGGAACTACATAGTAGAAGACAGGCAAAAGGAAAGTATTTCTTTTCTCTTTTTCTTTCAACTCACAGCAAGACTCTGGAACTTGTCACCAGAAGATATGGTGAAGGCTATTGAAGAGGAATAGTCAAATAAAAAAAAAGAAAAAACAAGGCATTTTGATTTCTTGAATTCCAAGAATTAAAATCAACACAGGGCTGAGTACAATCAACAATTATTTTTCAAGAAAACTATTAATATATAGTCATGATCTAGACATACGGTAATTTACTGTGCAGATGCAGTTCCTTTGGGGATGGGCAATAGTGACTGAACTAGAATTGCCAGTTTTGTAGCTTTTCATTTAATTTCCCTTTGAAAATTATGAGGTAGCAAGAGAAATTAGAATAGCTTTTGCTGCTTGGGTACTCAAATTAAGTAGTCACTTATCTTACTGTAAAGCAGAGGTGGAGCATACAGCAAATTAGGTCAAGATGGTGGGAAAGAAAAAATATATATGCATACTCTTCACCAGGAGGGAGTATGTATAAAAGGCAGTATAAATTTTCTGAGTTGCAACCAGCTGTAGAATCTATAATCACCAAAAAAAAACAAAGTCAGAGGTGGAACTTGTAATGTTATGACTCATAACACAACACAGCTTATCAAATGGAAGATTCTGGATCATACCTTGGTCACTCCCATTATATAAATTGCTGATTCATCATTCATCAGCATGGCCAATCCCAGATGAAATTATTTATAATTTTTTTTCTGCTTCCCTTTCTCCTACCTTATGTCATGTTCCAAAGCTCCAGGGTTAATTGGTTTTTATGTTGCAGTTGTAATAAATTTGAAGGAACTAAAATGTATGGTTTGGATTAGCTTTTTCACTGTTTCATTTTGGTTTAATATTTCTATTTTTATTAATAAGATGTTGAGAAGTGAATTTAAGATGTGACGGTAATGTTAAATTATGTATCAGTAATTTGGAGCCAATTGATCTGTGATGGAGCTTTGGGTGTATCAGTTTTAGGATATATCAAGGAAAATAATAATGTGCAGGTGAAAAGGAGCTACAATGCCAGATATAAAATCTTGGATTAAAGTAATATATTCATTGTCAGCATTTAAACTGGCCCTGTAAAAATGCAGTAAAAGAGTGTGAGATGTAAAAACCCCAAATTTTGATACTCACAATAAGAAGACAAGTCTAGTTAACAAAGCAAAGTTTTATTGGAGAAAAACATAAAAATAATAATAAGAAAAGAAAAGAAAGACATTTGCAAACGCAGCCTCCTGGACCCTTCCCAAATTGGATTGGGTTCCAAGAGCGCAACAAGCAGTTTCCAAGCTATACAATTTATATCTTTTATAATGCAGTCAAGCCTAAGAAACCCTCCTATTCCCTTTCTCTATATTCTTTGAAGTTTACATTTAAAAAGATCATTCTGGCAATTTCCATCCATCCGCTGGGGTCTTATCTTTGTTTATTTGTAATTTCCACTTTGTGATCTTACCTTTGTTTATTTGTAATTTCTACTTTGTGATCTTATTTTTGTTTATTTGTAACCTTTACTCAAGTAGGTCATAATTCATTTTCTTTGCTGATAACTTTTTGTGGTCACTTTATATAGGCAGGAAGAAGTAGACAGACCTTCTCACACATTTGGCAGTGCATTGCTACATTAGTGTTAGTGTTACATTTGTGCTAAATAGACAATCTCATATAATGGTATTACATTTCTACAATTACATTTCTACATTTTATGAAAGAATAACTTTTATTTATTTCCTTCAATTGTGATCAATATGGCTGTATGTTGTTAAATTTTACAATGTTATGTTGTTAAAAAAAACCCCTGCTTTCTAATGTGACTATGTTCTGTCTGGTGGGAGGGAAATTTGTCCAGAATGTTTGTATTGCCTGTCTTGCAGAAGTAACTGCATGCACACAAACACACAAACACACCATTCAGAATCACACTGAGGCTATCCCCTTCACCCACCTCCATGTAAAGCTCTCCAGGCTGGTTCTTGCTCTGTGGCACTAAAGCCTTTATTTGTATTCCTGCAAATTCCATGGGGGAGGAAATCACGTAATTTACAGGCGATTTTCAATTCATATGCCCTCACTGAGGAGGTAGCAGGAAAGAGATCTCCAAACCCAAGCCCTGACTATGTTACACTGGTGGACTCATAGTGGGAGTCCTAGGGCTCACTGTGTACAATTTAAGAAATATTAATAGCCTGGCTTGCACACTGGCTAACCTCAATTGGACATCACAAACCTGGATGCACTAAACCAGTGTTTCCCAAACTTGACAATTTTAAGGCATGTGGACTTCAACTCCCAGAATTCCACAGCCAGCATTGCTGGCTGTGGAATTCTGGGAGTTGAAGTCCTCATGCCTTAAAATTGTCAAGTTTGGGAAACACTGCACTAAACTGCTAAGGCAGGAAACAACCCTTGAAAATGGGCAGCCAGTAATTATTTATTAAGGCAAAATATGGCTGTGAAGAATTTTGGGGCCTGTGCAAACCTGACTGAAAGCTCACAGGAAGTGATATCAAACATCTAAAAGAAATGGCACAAAATATTGGATACTATAAATTTCTTTTCCACCTAACAGAACTTTTACCCCAGCTTCCAGACCTTCAGGGGTTGAAAGCTTGCCTTTTGTGAGCCACTGCAGGGATCTTTTTCTGCGGCCTCTATCAGTGTCTTCCCCTCTGCATTAACAGTTTAAAAACCCATTTCCCCACATCCTGGAACCCTTCCATAGAAGCACCCATTAAGTCTCCCTGAGCAGATTAATTCTTAATCTGGCACAAAGGGAAAATTGTTGGAAGTCAGCACCCACCCTCCCTCCTAGAGAAGGAAATATTTTGGGGAATATTAAAAAGGCAGAAACCAGCCCCCAGTTTCCCTGCCCCAAGCAGAAACTAGCTTTTAGAAATGCAGATTTGATAATCCATTCAGGAAGACTGAAGGCAGAAAGGCTGGAGCTAAGGGGATTAGAAAAACAAAGAGTCCAAGGATAGGAACGTGATCTTTAGGACACAATAGGATTAACCCTTCATCATTAGAATACCAAAAAGGCACACTCAAGCTTAGGTCAAAGTACATTGCACAGGAACAGGAAGAACCTCAAATACAAAGTCCAAGAAGATATAAACATCCACCCACTCCCAACTCCATTTTGGTCAGCTGTCCCAAAACTGTGTGCTGTTGCTGTTCTGCTCTTCAATAAACAAACCTTCTTTCCAAATAGCCTCCAT